CAGGTGCTCTCTGCTTAAGCCACCCTTTCAGCACTGAATGTTTCTAATTCAGAGACAGGTACCCATTAAGCTCTATAATTTTGTTCAGTTCTGTCATGTTTTGTATTACATTTTGGTAATAGATAGTGGTTTCTACTGAAAACCACAGTCTAACTCTTCTCAAACATAAGTATTTACAATAATTATGAGGGCCAGATGTGGTGGCTCACACCTGTAATCCCAGCTACTGAGAGGTGGAGATAGGAGGATTGTGGGCTAGCCCAGGAAAAGTTAACACAAGACCCCTATCTCAAAAACAAAACCTAAAAAAAAAGCAAAAAGAGCAGGGGTGTGGCTCAAGTGGTAGGATACTTGTCTAGCAAGCATGAGGCCCTGAATTCAATCCCTAGTACCAAAAAGAAATCATGAGTCCTAGTAGATTTTATCAGTCAAAATAAATCAAGAGACATGGGAGTGAGAACATGTACTATTTCCATCTGTGCTGGAATATCTCAGTTAACATAACATCCTCTAGTGCCCTCCCTGTGTCACAAATGACAGGATTTCACTTTCTATCCATTCACCTGTGGATGGACATTTTAGTTGATCCCATATTTTGTGAATAATGCTTTAATAAACATGGGTGTGAATGTTCCAACATACAGAAATGATATTCAAGGAGATGGAAATGCTAATTACTCCGTTTTGATCATTACACATTGTACACATGGAGTGAATGATAATAGTGCACCCTGTAAAAAGGTACAAATATCCTATGTCAGTTTAATTTGGGGGCCAGTACTGGGTGAAAATGTTCCTAGAACAGGAAAGTTTTCTCAGCTCTCTGAAGGAAAACAAAGCCTTTGCTGGTTTCTTCCTACCCTGGCCAACTTCTAGGAGCCAACTTGACACCACTGAGCACAGAAGGGGGATGGGGGAAGACCCAGTTGGTCTTCTCTGAGGCTTTCTGCCTTTGCTATTATTCACTATGAGTTGTTTTTGACTTTCTTTAGAATTCTTACAGGCCGGGGATTCAGGTATGCTTCTCTAGGAGCACCTGGGAGTATCACATGTCTGGTGCTGGGAGTGGGGCTACTACTGAGGTGAAGTGACTTTGGATTATACATACAACAGAGAGCGCAATGCTGGTGAGCACCACTTCTTAGAACATTTTAACCTTCTTTCCTGTCCCCTGCTCTGCAGCCCTCTGCTACTGTGGTGTCGTGGGAGGTATGTAAGAACATTGAGGTAATCAGACCTCAACCACTCACATTTTCTCTCCCCCTTGCCCTCCTTCCCCTATGGGTGTCATAGCAAAATCACTACAAACTTAGCAGCTTGAACACATAAATATCTCACAGTTCTGGAGGCCAGAAGTCCAACAGAGGTGTCATGGGGCTAAGATCAAGGTCTCTCCAGGGCTGTGTTCCTTCTGGTAGTTCTAGAGGAAAATCTGTCTCCTTGCCTCTTCTGACATCTAGAGGCCTGCTGCACTCCCTGGTCACAGCCCCTTACTTCAACTTCAAAACCAGTAATGGCCGGGAGAGTCCTCATGTGGAAAGGCTCTGACACTGACTGCCCTTTTGTGTCCCTCTTCTGCTTTTAAGGACCCTTGTAAAGTACTTTGGGGCCACTTCAATTATCCAGGATGATGTTATCTCAAGGTCAATGAGTTAGCAACCTGGGTTAGTCACCTTTCTGTCACTGTGACAAAATTCCTGAGAAAACCAACTTAAAGGAGGAAAGGTTTATTTTACCTCATGGTTTCTCAGTACCATGAAGTCACTTGACTCTGTCGTCTCTGGACCTGGGATGAAGCAGGACATCATGGCGGGGGGCATGTGGCAGACCAAAGCTGCTCACTTCATGGAGATCAGAAAGCAGAGAGACAAAAGGGCACACTACCAGTAACCTCCTTCCTCCAACTAGGCTCCACCTCCTAAAGTTTCCACACCCTGTCCCAAAGTCCATTAAGCTATGAATCCATCAGGTTAACCCATTGATGAGGTCAGAGCCCTCATGATCCAATCACCTCCCAAAATCTCCACTGCTGAACACTGCTACATCGGGGACCAAGCCTTCAACACATGAGCTATTGTGGAGGGAGAGAGACATTTCAGATCCAAACAAAATAAACGGTGCTATGTAACCTCACACCTTCACAGGTTATGGAGACTAGGGTGGGTACATCTTTGAGGAGCCATTTTCTGCCTGTCACAGTCCTCCACAGTTTTCATCTGCACCTACCCTCTTGTTCTCTAGTTGCCAAGGAAGAGAAGTCCCCTTGTGGTTCCAGTTAATTCCCTCTCAGCCTGTGCTCTTTGGCTCAGCCCCACTCTGGAGCCTTGTTCCACCAGGTAACAACATCCTTTCCTCTACATGACTCTCACTCTCCACTGGCTTCTTCCTCCCAAATATATGGTGACATGAAGTCTCTTCCTTCCAAAAACCCATTCTGGTCTAATCTCTCAGTAGTTGTTACCCAATTGCTCTCCTTTCTTTATAGGTAACTCTCTAGAAAGAGCAGCCTACACTTACCTACTTTTCATTCATTCACTCACTTGGCCACCATGCAAATGAATACACACTGTGTGTCTGCCATGCTCTTGGGAAAGGGTCCTTGCTCTCACACAGCTCATAGCATAGTGGGTGAGAGAGACGTTGAGCATGTCATTTTTACCAAGTGTGCCAGGTGCAATGATAAGAGCCATCTAGAGCAAGAACATAGGTATGGAGGGGACAGTGGTGGCATTGAAGCTGGCAGAGCTCCAGGGTACTTGTATACCGAATGGATGACAGCACAGGCAGGGCTAGTCCTCTTTCATTTCTTTGTCCTCTACTCTCCATAGCACAGCTTCCTGACCTGGGGTCTCTGCAGGTCCTTGCAGCTTAGTGCTGCTAAAGCAGCTCATTTCTCAATTCAAACGCCAAGTCAGCCTTGTGTTTCCCCTAGCCGCTTACACTAGAATCCTGGCCAGGAATTTTTAACTCACTCGTATCTGGCTTCTGCCTCAATGAAACAACTCTCATGTGTCCTCTGCGGGCCTCCTACCGTCCAAATTGCACAACTTTTCACCCATAATTCACCAGATCTCCCAGCCCCAGCACTTGCTTCTTGAAATGGTCTTTCCCCTCACTTTCCGCTATGCAGTGTTTCCTTCTGCACTCCTGCCTTCCTTCTCTATCTCATTCCAGGTCTCTTCCTCTCTCTACTTACTTTCGCGACAAATGCCATCCACTTCCGTGGGTTTGTCCTCAGATCTGTTTCCATCTGACTTCTTTTGTGGGCTTTAAGCCTAAGCTCAGCCCTATCTTGGACACGTGACTTCCCCATATTCCGCACATTCCAGTTTGGCCTCAGCACTCTTCTACTTGATCCTCTGCTCATATTCCCTCTGTCTGAAAATGGTATCACTTGCCACCCAGTCACAGTAACCAAAAACCTCAATACAGGTTGAGCATGCCTAACCCAAAAACCTAAAATCTAAAATGTTCCGCTATCTGAACCACTTCTGGTCTGGAGCAGTTCAGGAAAAGGATACTCAACCTGTATCATCTTTGACTTCTCTCACCTCCAATTCCCAGTCACAAGATCCTGCAGATTCTTTTCGGCTTGTATCATCCCTTGCCTCTACTCCAGACACAGTCCTAATTGTTCTTTTTGTCCTCCACCTTGCTGCCCTGAAATCCACCTTTCACACATGACCCCCAAGGTGCTCCGTGACTAGCACCTACCTAGCTCTCAGTCATCTTCTGGTAGGCCTGGGTACACTGCAATTCAGGAATATCAATTTGTTTTGAGCTCCACACACACTGCATCCTGTTTTATGTACCAGATGCTTCTGTTCATATTGTTTTCTTCTCCTGATGGTTTCTTTGCTTCTCAGTGTTGTTTTACCACCTGTACATAATCCCCAAACAAGAGTTTAGCTTGGTTTTGAACATATATGAACGGAATGATACTGTATATATTCTCCTGTGCCTGGCTTTTTTCAGTCAACATGCTTATGAGACTCATCTTTGTTAGGTGTAGCTGTGGTGTGATTACTTATGCTGGGTGTGCAGTATTCTACCATAGATGGATATTTTTTATTTCCAGTTTTTGTTATTGTTGCTGGCTAAGACAAACAACTGAATATTTTTGTACCTCTCTTGGAGCGGAGACCTTCTTATTTCTCAAGGCTATCTCCATACCCAAGAGTAGATATGCTAGGTCATAGGGTAGGTATCACTTCAGTTTATCAGATAAAGCCAAGTATTCTCTAAAGCAGTGTATCAGAGTTGCTATTGGCACTATGACCTTGCCAATGTTTGGCATTACCAGACTTTTAAAAGGCTGGTGATATATGGGTGTGACACAGTATCTCATTGAGTTCCTACTGTTTTTCCTCTTTATTAGAATCTTTAAAATTTTTCTTATATATAAGAAATACAATATATTGGTTTTGATATACACAAAGTGAAATGGTTACTCTATTCAAGCAAATTAAGATATTCCCAATATCACACTCTTTTTTGACAAAAAATACATAAAGTCTATCATTTGAGCAAAGATCCCAAATGCAATCTTAACTGCCATCTTCTTGTTGTGTACTAGAACTCTTGATTTCTGTATTCTGTAATTTTCCCGTAATGTAAACTGATTTAAAGGTCTAGAAAATAGCCAGAGGCGTCCTTGTTGACTTGATACATACATCATTAGAAAGGTTTTTACACTCACTTAAGTGATGCTTCCAAGGTGAGAAAACCTTCTCTAGTTTGGTTGAGGTTTATGTATTACATGAGCTGGCATCAGAGTACTTTTTACTGAAGGTGTCTACTTCTAAAATAAAGATGCTGGATCTGTCAATGGATAGTAAATTCAGCTGGCCATTTCTCAGTCAAAAATGGAAACAAAGGTTTCTAATAAGATAAAGAACATGTGAAGTAGAGCCAGGAAAAGAAAATAAGCAATTAAGATGGACACCATGTACATTTCAAACACACAACACAGTTATATCCCTGAAAATAGAGTGTTACTGAGTTAATGTATTTATTACAGCAGGTCTTTAGTCATTATTGCCATGAAAATGTTTTCATCAAATTTCACAAAATCCTTTCAACTATTAGCTTTTTTTTTCATGGAGTAACACTGTTAATTTATGAAATATTTACAGAGTTTACAAAAGGCAAGAGAATATCTAATAAAATTTCTTATACTTACAAAATTCATACATTATACTACTATATTTGAGATGTCTTATTTGGTAGACCAATTAAACTATGGCATAAAATAATTTACAAAGATATATTTAATCTCTCTTAATTCATTGAAAACAAAACCATATTAGCTATAAATAGTCCTTTACAAATCACTGTAAAACACATTAATTGTTTTAACACTAGCTTTAGCTTTTACAAATATACTTACTAAATGATTTAGTTCAGATATCAAATAGAATTATATATTTAAAATTTCACTTCATACTATAAAACAAAATGTAACAAACAAACAAAAAAACCTGAAAAAAGCAAACTGCCCAGTACTTCAAGTAAAAATGTGTAGAACCAGTTTTTATGCACGCTTGGGAGGTGGGGAAGCCCAACACCATTTAAACTGAGATACAGAAACACAATACTTTCAAAAATATGCTCAACAAATGTACATCTGGGCATTCATTTGAAAGAATGATGCTGTAGCAATAGGCTCATACATCCAAGATGGCTAACCCTGCATTTTGGCAGATAAGCTGCATCGACTAGAGCCATGTTTGCGAAAATATTCACCTAAGCAGCAGAATACACCTGACATCCTTAAACAGTGCTAGATATGGAGTTTGCCATAACCTGAAAAATAGTCAAAATTTTCAGCAAGCCTGTGAAAGAATTTAGAGTAGAACTGACAAAGTTAAGAAAAATCAAATCATATTTAACTGGGCTTCATCATATAAAAATACATTTCTCTTGAAAATCATGGGAAAACCCTTTATATTCCAAAATAATGAAAAACTCATCTACACAGCTATTTCTCCTTAAGTCACCACTTAGGATGGGATAAAAGTTGGCAACTGTTTAAACCTGTTGCTTTTGGATAATGCTGGGGAGCTGAGCTCAATTTGGTTTGGGCAGGAATACCCATCTTTCACATTTGGGTTTATTTTAGATAATCCAAAGCAGCCACTACATGCAGTCTGAGGAAAACCACTTCCCAGACATACTCCCCCTCTGATTTAAAACAATGTTCCAATTAAGCCCACCAAATACATATTGTATACATAATATTTCTAGAGAGATAAATTAAATTTATAAGTTTATCCTTTAAAAAGTGCTTTATAAAGGTGTCAGCATTTTCCAGAACCTCCTTTTGGCTCCTTTCTTCTGATTGCCATGTGGACACTAGCTCTCTTATAATACATATTCTAGAAGGCACATATTCAAGAGTTTAAGATACTGTTAGTTCAACTTCTACATGGAGGCAGATGTTTTAATCTACTTTGTACAGATGTCCAAGATGAAAGCTATTTCTTTTACTCAGAGCTTAAAGGCAGTGCCAAGGATCCCCCTCAGAAGTGAGTTTGCACGTGGGGCATCATTTGTGATGGACTGGAAGGTGAAGTTGGGGGATCAGAAAGCTTGGCAGAGTTGGCAAGCTGCAGCTCCTCAAGCCGCTTTATGTAGTCGTCACGCAAGGCCAAGAGCTCCATGTAACGCTGCTCCACTGGATTTGGCTGCTGGAGAGAGCCACAGACAGGAGTTATGTTTTATGCCAGCTACTTTACATTTGCTGCAGCTGCTGCCTTCCGAACACCTTTTATCATGGGTTACCATATGTGCATACCTTCCTTACATACCACACCATCAATACCTAGGCAAAAGTACCAAGAATTCCAAAATACCCAGCTATTCACCAGCAAGAAATAACTGACGTATACATTTCCTCAGATGTGTATTGCATCTCTGAAACGTTCATCAACCTAGACATAGCTATGGACTCCTGTGCTGTCTGTCCCCAGGCCCAGTGCCCTCTTTTGCTATGAAGGACAACTCTTCTCAAGTTGGTCTTCCTGTGGAAATTAGTGACACTTTACCTATACAAGACTATCCATAAACAAAACTCAGTGTATATTACATTATAGCTCATTAAACATTAGAATATTGGTACCATTATATTTATTGGTTGACATTTTGACCCAACAGCATGCTTTTTTAATTTGATTCTTATTGAGGCCCACTGAAGGAATAAACCAGTCTATCTGCCCATTTCCACACTGAAGAAGGAGAACTAGCAGTTTCCAGGGCTCCTGAGTATCACCTGCAATGCAGTACTGAGTATCCTCGTACATCTGCCCGTGCACATAGGCCCCTACTTCTCTAAGGGCTCTTCCGAGCTATGGGGTCACTAAGTACAATAGAGTCTGTTCAACCTCACATGCTGCCAAACTGCCCTTGAGGTGGGGAATGCACTTCACACCAGTGGTGCTTAGCAGCTCCAGTTGCTCTGATCTTCACCGGAACTTGGGAGCATAAGACTTTGTTTGGCCAAGTTGAGGACTACACCATGGTATGTCTTGAGTTTGCATTGCTCTGCTATGTCATCTGTCCATGTGCTTACTGCCCATGTTAATATGTGGCTGGGAGCAGGAGCTCGCATACCCTCCACATGGGTATCACTTCTGGGTTTACGCTTACCAGCTGTTTAACTTGACCTTGTGTGCACCTCCGTTAAGCTTTCTATAAAATGGGTGAAGTGAGTTAAGGCAGTATCCCATGCAGTTTCATGGGAAAGTAGGGATTGGTGTTGATAGAAAGGCAGAAGTCACGTGGGAGTATAATGTGGTTCTCCTCAGCATGCTTCATTTTCAGACTTTCCACTGAGCCATAAATCCCACACAGCACACAAGTCATAAGATATGCAGCTCTGCGAATCTCTACATAAGCGTACACCTATGTAATCTCTACCCAGGTCAAGACACAGAACACAAGAACTCCCCAGAAAGTTAATGTGTCCGAGTGATCAGGGGCCAACTTTCTAGAAAGCTTAAGCAAGTTACAAAGAGATTAAGAAGAAACAGTAGTCAACAGAAGTGCCTTCTGTAAGCATATGTACTGACTTCCAGAACTATCCTGAATTGCACTTGCATTAAACTATCTGCCCAAACTGTGAGCACCAATAAGACAGCTGTGAGAACCTTGCACTGATGCAGAAAGCTGGTCTGATTTTGAATGCTGAGGAGAATGGTCTCTATCAGTAGCAGAATACCTTCCAAGACCTGCATCCCAGAGGAGTGACCATGCGCCCTGAGATTTAAGACTGTACTCATTTCCTTAATTGCCCTAACAAATTAATACAAACCTATGTGGCTTAAGACAACAGAAATTTATCCTCTCATTGTTTTGCAAGGCAGAAGCCCAAAATTCAAGGTGTCATCAGGTCTGGAGATTCTAGGGGAGAATCCTTCCTTGCCAGTCTCTTTCTCCATTCATCCTTTCTTCCTTCTAACCTCCCTCCCTCCCTTCTTCTATCTCTCTTTTCCTTTCTTTCTTTTTTTTTTTAATTGAGACAGGGTCTGGCTATGTAGCCCAGCTTCAGCCTCCTGGGTGCTGGTATTATAGGTATGTGCTACACACCTACCTTTTCTGAAATCACCCCTCCTTTGTCTCATGAGAATACCCATCATTGGATTTAGGGCCTACTCATTTGTGATAACTTATTTACATGTGCAAAAAACTAAGGTCATATTCCTGGTTTCTGGATGGATAACGGTCTTTTTTGTGGGAGGGGAGCCATTCAACCTCCTACAGGCTACCAAAGAGTGAATCGGCTAAGGCCAGGTGCAGCTGTAAATGCCCCACATTTCTACTGGGATTGGTGCCTCCATTGGGGCTGTGCTTGAAAAGATCCATAGGTTTGCAGAGGTCTCCTCCCAGTCCTGCCCTTCCCATACCACTGCTATTTTAGAGTGGGAAGTTGCAGTGTGTGGATTTTCAGAAAAGCATATCTGGTATTAGGGTGTGAATGCTTGGTGCCAGACCTAACAACCAGTCAGTGCTGCTCTCCAGTATCTTTTGTCCAGCTTTCTCTCTGTCTTCATCTTTGGGCCAGCTGCTGTTCTGGGTACTCAGGGTCAGTGAACAAAAAACCCCATTTTTATGGCATTTATCTTCCAGCAGAGGGAGACAAACAACAAACATAACAACCCTGAGTTAGAGCTTTGGAAAGTGATCAATACTAGGGAAAAATAGAGCAGGGTAAGAGAGAGTGGGGCAAGTGGGGTGACTTTTACATTCTAAATTGAGTATATGGAGTGAGCTTCATTGAAGAAAGAGGCTACTTTGGGGAAAAGGCTTGGAGATGAAGGAGAGAGCCAAGTGGCTATGTGAGTATCTGAGGAAGAGCAGAAGCCAGTGTGGCCAAAGCAGCGTATATGAGAAAGAGTTGTTGAGGAGACCAGGAGATGAGAAAAGTAAGGGAGGATGGAGGTCACCTAAGGCCTCAGAAACCATAAGTACTTGGGCCTTGAATCTGGGTAGCCAGTGTGGAGTAGAGGACAGCAGGAGCAGGAGGTTTGGGAAACTCCTAGGAGGTCTTTTTGGACATGTTGTATTTCATTTGCAGTCCAAACACCACTTACTGAATGAGGAGTTCATTCGTTTGACTGCCTTCTTACTATATCAAGTCTCCCCATCTGGGTCTGTTTCTGGGCGCTATTCTGTTCCATGTAAGTACTGACATAGAGTAGGGCAAGTTCTTCCACAGTATGTTCCCCCATAATTGTCTTGGCTATTTTTTAAATCTCCTTTTTCATATGAATATTAGAATTTAGAACCAGTTTGAATATTAGGATCAACATGTGTAATTGGAGAATAAAAAGAAATCAGAGATAACACAATCATTTTTGCAATGGTGTGACTGCATAATTAGAAGACTTGAGAGAGCAAGCAGAATATTTGATATAAAAAGATATTTCAGTCAAGTAATGGTTATAAAATATATAGAAGGCTGTAGACAAACAAAACCCCTTGGAAGAGAGTCATTTCTGAGACAAAATATAAGACAAAATGACAAGAAATGAAGTTAAAATCAAATGACTTTCAATATTATACCTCTACCTCTCACTTGGGAAATGAGCTGTGAAGTAAAGTACATGCAGCTCAGTATGGTACAGAACATAGGCAAGAGCTAGTTACAGAAGCATTTTAGGCCTGAAATGATTTTCATATTCATATGTCTTTTAACTTTTCTATCAGAAATGACTTAAATACCATACAGGTCAGCCTGTTAATATCTGATTGTCCCTGTTCTCATCCTTTACTGAGTTACTGAGATTTATGTCATAGCAAGGGCTAGTCGAGTTTGCTTTTAAAAACACACTAACTCTGTCTTTAGAAGGTTAACAGCTCATTATGGGGAGGGGCTGTAAGTTCTTTTGTATCTTTCACCATTGACAGTACAGCATTGTGTTGTGTGTGTTGTAGGTGCCCAATAATTGTCTGTAGGCCTTCTAGGTCACACAAGTGAATAACAATTTAACTTTAAAGTGGTTAAGTACATTCTTTTAGGTTTGTATCATATAATTTAAAAAGTCCTGTGTGACCTGACTTTAATCTATTTCTGTATGGAATAATGTTCTATCTAAGCAGATCTTTAAGAAAATCTCATGTACTTAATTCATAGCTTTATTATCAGATTCATCCCTGTGCACTGCAATCATCAGCTTAAGTGCCTGGCTGCCCCTGCCAGCCTGGGGGTTCCTTGTGGGCTGAGACCACCTCTTCCTAATCTCCATATCCCCTTAGTGTCTGACCCGTGGAACACTCAATATTTGGTAGATGAAAATATGAAGTCCCCAGGAACACGTGTACAGGAATGACACATTCAGAAAATCTACAGAGGGGGAAGATTTTCTTTTTTTGAGTTAATGCCAACAGATCATAATATACAGCAATTACTGTCTGAAAATATAAAACCTCGAGTGCTCCTATTTGGCCCAGTTACATCTTGCTAAACCCTATGAGACCAAGGGGATAAATCTATTATAGGAAGTTTTTCTAATGATGTGCCTTCAAACTTGCCTTATCAGAAACAACCAGTACAAAGTTGACTTGCCACCCAGTTGTCATTACTCTTATATATTCAGAATTGAACTGCTTGAAAATCCTTGAATTTTAAGAATTTCTCCAAGTACAAGTGGGTGAGAGTAGACTGCAGAATCTGTACAGAAATTGTCAATGCTTTCTAACTGGTAATGGTTTTAAAAAGCCATAGCAAATACAGAAAAGGCTTACTGAACAGGACAAACACAATGCTCATTTATAAACAATTTTTAATTGGAAAAGGAGCATGTCTTCCGTAACAGTGGTTAGAACCCTGGAAAAATCCCCATTTACTCTTCACTTGGTATTCTAAACACCACAACTACTGCTAAGCAAATTCCCTCAATGTGATTCTCAAATCCCAAACCAAACAAGTGAAAGTTCTCAAGCCCTGGAACCTGCCACTTTCCAAAAGAATACACATTTCAACCATTACTGAATTGCAAAAGCCTTTCATGCAAGCAGCAGAGATTGAAAAGAGGGTGCCAGCCTGAAATGGGCATTTCCCCAATGAGAAAGGACAGTACAGGCTGGCATGCAGCCAGTGCCTGAGTGGAATAAGTGATCTGAGAGCCAGATCACAGTCACAGGAGCGTGCAATTGTCAGCCCATTGCTAGTAGGATTAAAGCCAGTGCTCATGCAAGGATGGCCTGAGAGAACAGGTAGCTGACCACTAAAACTGCAGGAAAATAAGCAAACCTTTACAACATGCCATCACAAACACTGTAAGGCTCAGAACAAATCAATATGCACAGGTACTTCTGAGCCTTTACAAACAAGCTGGTTTTAATTCTGATTTTTGATGGAGTGGGGGTAGGAGAATGGAAAGCCCAAATGTCTCTAGTAAAATGTAGGGTCTTTCGCCTCAATATTCTGCTTCAATTTTTGATTGATAAATGTGCAGCTGAATGTACTATCCATTAACAAGATCCAGTACCTTTATTTTGTAGTAGGGACCTGATGCCCATTCACCTGGTACATATGCTTGAACCAGAGTGGAACTACATTTAATTCTTGTCCTGACAGGATCACCTAAGTCTACTCAGTGTAAAAAACTTTCTAATGATATATATATGGTGTGTAATCATGTGAAATGAATAAAAGAAAGCCCTGGCTGTGAAAATTCAAAACTTCCTAGAGCTTTAAAACAGCTTAAGTTATGAAAAACAATTGTAGCATTTGGATTGGCAGAGGAATTTAACTTCAAAATACATGGCTTAGCAATTTAAAAAAATTAAATTAAACTTGTGTTTTTAAAAAGTGTTTTTTTGAAGAACAGGAAGGCAAAACAGGTCTTGTTTGGGGAGCTGGTACAGTGGGAGAAGGGAGGATATAAGAAAAGGGTCTAGGAGGGTGAATATGGTGAAAATATTATGTACTTGTGTATGAAAATGGAAAGATGGGGAGGAGGGATAAAGGAGGATGGTGGAAGGGGCGAATTCAACTATATTTGATATAGTGTAAGAATTTTCGTAAACATCACAACGTATCCCCACCCAGAGCAACAATAAAAAATTTAAAAAAAAAAGAAAATGGAAAAATGAGACCTGTTGAAACTATTCCAGCAATGGGGGAGGAAGGATGAAGGAGAATGACGGAAAGGGTGAATTCAACTATGATATATTGTATGAACTTTTGTAAATGTCACAATGCTCCCCCAGTACAACAATAATATAAATAAAAAAGCGGTTTTTCTTCATGATTGTAAAAAAAAAAAAAAAAAAAAAAAAAACAAAAGCAAAGCAAATAACATCTAAACCCAAAAGTAAACTTCAGTTATGTGGCTGTCTTTTACCAGTGCTACTTCACTTACTTGTTGCTTGATTCTAGGGTTCCATCTAATGTAGTAATTTACCCAGAGTTCCAAGTGGCGCATACTGGCAACTGGATATAAAACTCGATTGATTTCTTTTGTATAGAAGGGGTTTTTGAATTTCTCTTTACTGCTGTTGATCAAGGACCATAAAGAAACTGTTCTTTCTGTAACTTTCTAGAGAGAGAAAATAGAAAGCCTAAGTAGACACATACACACACACACAAAAGAACCATTTCGCAGCTTGTGGCAATATAGTATCAACCAGAATGACAAATTTACATTATCCCCATTAATGGCTCAAAAAGCACCATGGGCCAGTGAGTGCTCATAAGCACTTACCAATATTTGCATAATGGCCTAGCTTGAGAGCCACTATTTCTGCCGGAAGACAGGGGCACAGGATGCTGTACCATTAAATGCAATTCACTGACCTAAGAAGACTATTCCCAGCTAGGCAAAACATTCATGAACAGATGGAGGGCATGCTCTTTTAAATTCAGTGAAAAGAAAAATTATTCTAAGATCTCACTGACTTTTAAAATTTTTATATTTGTTAGAACTATGAAATTTTAACCTGCATCTACTTGACAGCAGGTATTTGGAAATAAAGTTATTTTAATCAACCATCTAGATGATTAATCTACACATCAACATCCAGATTATCTGAAAACATCTAGATAACTGATTGCATCAAGTCTTCATTTTGAAACCTAGTGTCCAGGTTATAATAGTCATGCTTTTATTGTTTTTTTTTTCTAGCTTTTTACCAAATTTTCACCACAAACTAGAGAAAAACTGATGCTGAGAAATAAAAAGTACAAGAATTAAATTTATCAAAGGTGGTATTCGAAACTGTACCTTATAATGACTTCAATAAGAGCATAAGCTAAACCCAAAAGCTACAAAGAACACCCCAAAATAAATGGCTAAAGAAGTCTCTTTAACATGTCATTTCATTAATTTGAATGATAAATAATGACAGCAGTGTCCAGGCTTCTATTGAATCTCCCTAAAACTTCATTTACACCTTTCTGATGCCAAAATCTATACTGCATTATGTTTTTTGCATGTTACTTTATTTTTCTTTTACACATGCATGTAGTTTTAAAAGTCACAGTTTGACACTGTTTGCTATGAAACAAAGGAACTGTTTTTGATATTTTTCTGGCTTTATTGAGGTAGGATTGAAAAATATTGTTTAAGGTGTACACATGATTTTTATGGTTGATTTTTAATTTTTAAAATTTTTATTTACTTATTTTTTGAGGCAGGATCTCACTATGCTGCTCAGGCTGGGCTTGAACTCCTGGATTCAAGTGATCGATCTGCCTCAGCCTCTGGAGTGGCTGGGGCTACAGGTGCATACCATGCCTGGCCCACATGTGCTTTGTTATATGCATACACTGTGAAAGAACCACCACAATCAAGCTAATTATGTTATTTATGCTAATTATGTGACATGTTACCTCCTCCCATAGTTACCTTTTTTTGTGTCGAGAACACTTGAGATCGATCATGTTAAGAGAATTTCAGGTATATAACACGTTAACTACAGCTGCCACGCTGTACATTAGGTCTCTAGTGCTTGTCTTATAACTGAAGCTCTTTGTACCTTTGGACCACTAACTCCACTCCCCACCAGTCCCTCGTAAGTATTCTTGTACTCTAGTTACTACAGGTTTGACTTTTGTTTAGATTCTAGCTATAAATAAAAAAATTGTCTGTGTTTGGCTTATTTCACTTAACATGATGTCTTCCACTTCCATCTATGTTGCCTCAAATGGTGGGATTTCATTCTTTTCAAAGAATGAATAATACTCTATGACAGAATGGAATGGCACATTTTCTTTATTCATTCATCTGTGGACAGGCACTTAAGTTCATTTCCATGTCTTGGCTGCTGTGAATAGCACTGCAGTGAACGTGAGTGCACTTCTCTCTTCCATAGTGGGATTCTTCGATCATAGGGAAGCTGTATTAATAATTTCTTGAGAACAATGTTCTCGCATGCTTCTGTATTTTGGCTGCCACACATTCGCAATATATAGCATAGCACCAGTTAGCTCAGTGCTTAGCAGTAGACATCCATGATGAAGCAAATGCTATGACAGCTGAGCTGTTTCTTTCCTTTCCCTGCACACATTTTTTTGTTTTCCCTTGATTTCATAACTGTCTTGTTTTGCTTATTTTTCTTGGCATTTGTTTATTTTTCTTCTCAAATGTCCCTCGATAGACTCAGGGACCTGATATGTTCCTGGTTTCACCTTCGGAGGTCTCCAGCTCGCGCTGGTTGGCCTTGTGCCTGGTGCCTGCTCTCATCTAGGATCTCTGTGCTGGAGCTCTTGCTTCTGGAATTCTAAGCAGTCTTCTTTCTGGTGTTGATGGAGCACATACTTCAGCCACTTCCAAAGAAAGGGTGTGTTGTGGGAGGTAAATAATTCTAGATGCTATGCATGTCTGGGAGGATCTTTATTTTTCCTTCATATTTAGTTGACAGTTGGTAGCTACAGAAAGCTAGGTGGAAGCATTTTCCTTTAAAATTCTGAATGCAATGCTCTACTGACTTCTATCTTCCAATACTTCTATTAAGGAATCCAAGGTCTTCCTGATTTGTTTCTTTGCAAACACAAGTTGAGTATCTCTTAACAAAAATGCTTGGTATCAGAAGTGTTTTAGATTTAGGACATTTTCAGATTTTGGAATATTTGCATACGCATAATAAGAGATCTTGGGGATGGGATCTAAGTTGAAACGTTAAATTCACTTATGTTTCATACATACCTTACATGCATAGCTGAATGTAATTTTAGACTGTATTTTCATGTTCTTGCATTTTTTTTGAGACAAAGTCTTGCTATATAACCCTGGCTGGCCTCAAACTTGTGATCCTCCTGCCTCAGCCTCCTGAGTGCTGTGATTACAGGCATGAAGCACTACAGCTGGCTTGTAGCTGCTTTGTTTTTATTGTTACTCTTGGTTTTAGTGGGACTGGGGTTTGAACTTACAGCCTCATGTTTGCAAAGCAGGCACTCTACTGCTTGAGCCACACCTACAGTTCATTTTGTTTTAGTTATTTTGGAGATGGCATCTTGCAACTATTTGCCCAAGGCTGGTCTTAAATTGCAATACTCCCAATCTCAGCCTCTCAAGTAGCTAAGATTACAAATGAAAGCCACCAGTACCTGGCTGTGCCTGTGTTTTTGACTGCAAGTTGTCATGTGAAGTCAGGTGTGAAATTTTCTATTGGTGGTGCCATGTGGAAACATTTCATAGTTTGGATTTTCGGGTCAGGGATATTCAACCTGTAACCCATTCATTTTTTCTTCATCTCTGGTGTTTGGAAATTCTACAGAGTTCTTTTCATATAGGTCTGTTTTCATTCGCCCTGCTTGGTACTTTGTGAGCCTTTCAATATGGAAACTCATGTACTGCAATTCTGACAAATAGTCTCAAATTATTTTAGTGAATTTTCTGCTCTCTGACTTCCCCATTTTTCTCTTTATGGGACTCCTACTACTTGGACATTGGCACTCCAGAGCTGATTTAATCTTCTTACCTTCTCTCCATTTTTCTCTCTATTTTTATTCTCTACTTTCTGGGAGATTTTTTTCAACTTTATCTTCCAATTCTTCTGAGGTTTTTATTTGTGCTGATATCATACTTTTAGTTTCAAACTTCTTTTTCTGATCTCTAAATATTATTTTCAAGTAGTATCACATTTTTGGTATTAGCCTTTTCTTATTTTTTTCAGGATATTCCCCTTTCTTTCTACATGGGAACTATTTTTACCCAAGCTACTTTTGTCTTTCCTGGTTGTCTACTATCATTTAAGAGGATAGTGGTAAACATTTCATTGGAAGCACTGAGATCGTAAGGCCACTCAATTGTGATCTTCATTGTAGAGAGCCCCTGGTGGTTGGTATCTTTAGGTCCTTCTTAGGAAACTCAGTTTCCCCAGAAATGATTTTTTAAGTTGAGGCAAAAATTTACATACTATAAAATTCACCATTTTAATACTGTAGAATTCAGTGGCTTTGAGTTTATTCACAATGTCAAGAATCTACCACATCTCTAGAGTTCCAAAACATTTTTGCCATCTCCCCTAATGGAAAGTCCACACCCAGTAAGCAGGCACTTTTCATTCTCCCCTGCCTGTAGCCCTAGGCAGGCAATCTGCTTTCTGTCCCTATGGATTTGTCTACTAGAACAACTCATGTAAATGGAATCATATAATATATGGACTTTTGTATCTGCATTCATTTACTTCGAATGATTCAAGGTTCATCTACATTGTAACATGTCAGTTACTGTGGCTAAATAATATTCCATCACGTGGACATACCAGATTTTATTTAGTCATCTGTCCTTTGAGAGATATTTGGGTTGTTTCCATCTTTTGTCTACTGTGAATATATACGTGTACAAATTTTGTTAGTTTTTTTGAACATATACCTAGGAGTGAAATTTCTGGGTCCTATCATTCTGTATTTTACATTTTGAGAACTACCAAACCATTTTCCACAGCAGCTGCACCATTTTTCATCCCCATTAGCAATTTATGAGGTTCCATTTTTCTCCCCATCCTCACCAGCAGAGATGGGTCATTTGTGCTCCTACTTGTATGATAAGAACCTGCTTTGTGAACACTGGGGGTAAGCTGGAGAAGAGAGCTGGGCTGTCACAGGGCAGGATCTCTCCATTCACCCTCTCTCAGGAGAAAACCTACGCCAGTCTTCTGCTCCATAGAAGTATGGAGAGAATCTGGGCAGCTTATTTGAAATGGACCTCCATAATTTCTTCTCTTCCCCTTCATCGCAGATACCTGCCTGGTAGCATTCATCCTGGAGTCATCCAGGATTTCTGGGATGTAAAAGTGAGCCAATTCTTGGCTTCTCCACTGCTGGTTTGGTTTTCTCCTTAAGTTATTACCACTTATCTTTTGGTTCTCCAGTTTCTAAAAGTTTGTTGCTGTATCTTCTTTCTCCTTTTCCCTATTCTTACAGGTATGTGACCTTTAAACCTTCCCTTCACCAACATTTTTATGGAGTTTTGGGAAGGAGAACTTGTACACTTTTAAAGTCATTCTCACTCCTTGAGGGCTAAGTCAGTGCCTCACAAGCGATCATATCTTTCTTATTGCACAGCAGACTAGATGCATTTTGGCAAGGTTTTACAAAGCAAGATTAGCATTTGTACTCACTTGTCTTTCTCGAGCAGATTCACAGTTGAATAAGAAAGTACCAAATCGGCAACTATACAGGTGATCCAAAATTGTAACCAAAAATCGTTCATTGAATTCAAAAGCTGTAGGGAACTAGACAAAAACAAGTAAGAACTGAGACAAATCTTGTATTGGAGTGAAAGGATGCATTGTAGGAGTGGACGCCACACTATAGGGCTATGCAATCTGCACACACCCTCGGCCTTGTTTTGGGCACTTTATATAGGACAGTGTCAAGTCAAGGAATAAAGAGGAATAGGTGATAAGAGGCCAATTTTCTGGGTTATCCTGGTTATACAGTCGTTTAATTATTTAAGTAGTAAGAGTTAGCAGAAATGCCTACAAACAAATGCTAGTGTGCAATGCAAGTAAAAGACAATAGATAATTCTAGACATTAAACAGTAGCAACAATAAAAAATGAATCCCTACATACCTATCACATGGATTCAACAATTATTCATGCACGGCCAGTCTTGTTTCATCTGTGCTGCATTATTTTAGGAGCAAATCCCAGAGAGCATAATAAATGATTTAAACACTGAGTGTACTATCATCCCATATATTCCTTACCTGTTTTGACATCTGCCATACACAATCAATAAACTGAAGAAAAATAGGAGATCGGTCAGCATCTGCATGATTTTTATCACCATGACCTATTCTCTGAAATGAATTGATCAAGAGGATTTGTTTTAATTCATGGGTACAAAATTGAGAAAGTGCATAACCTACAAAATGTGACAATACAACTTAGCAATGTGCCTTCTAAATACCAAGTTCTTCAGATAGTAAATACTATGTTTCCTTGGACTATAGATAAGTAATAAATGGTTTCATAATAATAGAAATTAAGAATATAAACTTCAGGGTTGGGGATTTAGCTCAGTGGAAGAGTGCTTGCCTGGTAAGTGCAAGGCCCTGAGTTCGGTCCCCAGCACTGAAAAAAAAAAAAGAATATAAACTTCTATAAAATACCAATGAAACCTGACAAAGTGTCATCCCATGTGGCTGTTACAATTATTTCATGCAAATGAATTTTGTACAAGTCCTGGACAACTGCAGATAGGATGGACTGAATTATCCTGCACAGAATGGTACAATACATTGAAAGCAGTTCTTTCTGTTGTAAAGGGACCAATGACAAAGTTTCAAGGCTTAAAATCATGCCAAAATGTATGATTATTAGAATTAAAAGTTATTTCTCCATTGAAGACAAGACAAAACCCAAATCCTGACAATCATTTCCTAAACAATGATTGTTTCTACTTGAAAATCTTATTCACTCTATTTCTGAAATCTGGATGAAAGCTAAAAGGTGCCATAGCAGTGTTTCTGAAAGTGGAATCTATGGATCTCCTCGTGGGAATCACCAGGAAGCCGGTTTAAAATGCTTTTCAAAGGGCATCTGGAAACAAGACCTGAGACTATGTATTTCAGCATGTTCTTTTGATGATTTAAAAAATGTTTATCACTTTTTTTAAAGGAGAAGAGGGTAAAACAGTTCCTGTCTAGGGGTGGGTACTGGTGGGAGGGGGAGAGTGTAAAGAAGTGGTGAAGGAGGGTGAATGTGGTGGATGTATTTTGTATTCATGTATGAAAACAGAACAATGAAACCTGTTGAAATTGTTCTAAGAAAGGGGGGAGGTGGATGAGGGAGAATAATAGACGGGATGAATCTAACTAAGATATTTTGTAAGTACATATGTAAGTATCACAATGAATCCCCCTGCACAGCTATTCTATGCTAACTGAAAAATAATCAAAAATGTGTATCAGAGAACAATCATAAAAAGCCTCAACTATGAGTCTAGTATTTCTATAAAATATATTTGGTCGTAACAGCCATACTATTAATAATGCTCAGAGAGAACTGAGATTTCAATGTCAGCATTTCTATGCAGACTCTCTGTATTAATATTAAGTGAAACTATAAATAATGCTATAAGTCTAAAAAGACTTTGATTAACCTAAGGCACCACACATTTTCAAACCTGTAAAGTGGGTTTTATTTACTCCTCAGATTTTCACCTTAGTACTGAATATATGCTTTAGCAACTAGTTTTTTTAATCTCAAATGGCAGTGATGTGATGTTTGTTTAAAAAAATAGCCTTATTGTTTACTTACAGATGCGAATTTATGCCCAAAACTTATCCATTCTTTCTGTACTAATATTTCGAACCCTTCGATGCTCCTGTAGAAACTGTCCAACATCAGCATGGCCAGGGACGTGAGCTGAGCGGTCCTGTCCCATCCGTCACTGCAGTGCACAAGCACCGAGCTCTTCCCTGAAGAAACTTTGTCTGCAACTTGAATAGCTCCTGTCAGAACAAGCTGCAGAGAGAATTGTGCAAGTCCATAGGGAGCATTAAGCTACTGCTTAAATTTGACAGCATAGTTTTTAACTCTAGACAAAGTCCCACTTTAAAATATCAATTAACATGTAGAACGTAAGAAGAAAATGAAGCACCAGGAACTGCAGGATCTGTTGCTCTTCTTGTCTAGAGAGACCACATTTGGATGTGCCTAGATATTAAAAAACAAAGCAAACAGCATTTCAACTGTATTTTCATGAATGTGACTGCAATAGTGTGCTGGCACTGACATAATGAAGTTCCACAAACTGAAGGCTTAAATAACAGAATTGTATTGTCTTATAGTTCTGGAGGCCAGAAGTCTGACATTTAGGTATTGGTAGGGCCCTGCTAGACTCTGAAGGAGCACTACAGGCCCCTTTCCCAGCATCTGGGAGTCCCTAGGCTTGTGGCAGTATAAACTTCAATCTTCACTCAGCATTCTCCATGTGTGCATGTCTCTGTGTACAAATTTTCCCCTAGCATATGGACATCAGTCTTGTCCAAGCAGGGGCATACTCCCTAAGCCTCATTCTACCTGAGTTCCAAATAAGGTCACTCTCTGAGGTACTGGGGAGTCAGGACTTCAGCATATGAATTTGGGGGTGGACACCATTCAACCCACAACAGTGCTCATATTAAATAAATTACTGGCCAAACAGGTCTAGTCTGCACATTAATAGCCTGACAAAATGGAACTCACCTTTTGGACATTAAATTGACAAAATATGAACTCTTATTTGCCCCATGAATAACAGGATATTTATCCTAAAAATAAAGAGATAGCCTTCTAGTATAAATTTGAGCCTTAGTTGTACCACTAAACTCACATATATGGATTACTTCTATGTCATTTTTGATGATCCAGGTATTTACAGAGGTATACTTTACAAAACATAGAATTTATCTCTGGTAAGTGTGCAGTTCAATAAGATTTAGTAAATTTATGTAAGTGTGAAACCATCACCACAATCCAGTTGTAGAATACTCCCATAATTCAAAAACATTCATTGTGAAATCTCAGATCAACACCTGTTCTCATCCTCAGTTCCTGGCAACCACTGATTTGCTTACTGTCTCTACAGTTTTACCTTTTCTAGAACCTGTATACACGTGGAATCAAACACTACATGATCTTTTATGTGACTTTTTTCACAAAGCATCATGTTTTCAAGGTTAATCCATGCTGTGGCATGGATCAGTGCTCCATTCCATTTTATGGACAAATAACATTGTATTGTGTATAGACCATATGTTACTTCATCAGCTGAAAGACATTTGGTTGTTTCTAGCACTTGTTAGAATAGTGTTGCTGTGAACTTTCACATATACATTTTTGAAGGGACACAGAATTTTTACTTCTCTTGGGTAAATATCTAAGAGTAAAATGGATAGATCACATGGTAAATGTATATTAATTTGTTTTTTGTGGTACTAGGGTTTGATCTCAGGCCTTATGCTTGCTAGGAAGGTGGTCTACCACTTGAGCCATACCCATGTTTAATTTTTTTAGTTTCTTTTTTTTTTATTGTTGTGCTGGGTGGGAGTACATGGTGGCATTTACAAAAGTTCTTACAATGTATCAAATATATCACACTTGAATTCACTCCCTCCACCATTCTCCTTCATCCCCCTCTTCCCCCATTCCTGCAATAATTTCAACAGTTATCATTTTTCCATTTGCATACATGTGTACAAAGTATTTGTACCATACTCATCTTCCTACAGCCTTTCCCCACATCCTTTTGCCTCCCACTGGTACCAACCACCCCCCTCAGACAGGACCTGTTCTGCCCTCCTGTTCAAAAGAAAAAAAATGACATTTTTGTTTGTTTAAGATAGCTACAAAGGGAGTATCCTTGTGACATTTCCAAAACTGAATTGGTTCATCCCCTCTATTTTTCTTTTTTTTCTACCTTAGTCTTCTTATGGTGGTTTCAACAGGTTTAAAAATTCTATATTCATTCTTGTATAGAGATTACATCAATCATATTCACCTTCTTAACTCCCTTGTTTTACCCTCCCTCTCTCATATCTGACCTCCCCTTAGCATAACCTGTTTTTCATAATATTGGTTGTATTTGTATCAGGTCTGTTTTCCACATATGAGAGAAAACACATGACTTTTGGCTTTCTGAATCTAGTTAACTTCACTTAAGATGATGTTCTCCACTTCCATCCATTTACCTGCAAATGACAAAATTTCATTCTTCTCTGTGACTGAATAAAATTCCACTGTATATAAACACCACATTTTCTTAATCCATTCATCAGTAGTGGGGCATCTTGGCTGTTTCCATAGCTTAGCTATTGTGAATAGTGCTGCAATAAACATAGGTGTGCAGGTGCCTTTACTGTCACTTGACTTACATTCCTTCGGGTGTATACCTGACACTGGCAAACTATTTTTTAAAATGGCTGTACTACATACATTCTCACCAGTAGCATATGAGGACTCCATCTTTTTAGATGATTATCATCCATTTCCATATATTTTGTCATTGTGAGTTAATTTTTGAAAGAATTATTCCATGGAGCTCTGAAAATTCTAACAGCCACGCTTACACATGTATTGTGATTATTTTAACTAAATCAAGGAAACTGAAGTATTCATTTGTTTAAACTAATTCAAGGAAAAGTCAAAGCATGTGAAAGATGTGACATATAGAAAGTTTAAAAAGAAATGTTACTTTAGTATTTTTACATAAACAATAATGAGAAATAAGTGGTTAGAGGAGTGATGAGAAAGATTAGGAGACCTAGGGATGACAAGTACTCATACAAAACTCATTGCTACTAAAATGACTAGTGAAGTTTATGTTTTCCAGCATGTTAAGTATTCTCCTTGCAATCCTGTAAATAATTTTAGTCTGAGGCACTTCTTAAGAAAGGGCTGTTGAGTCCAACCTAATGAAGTTGGGGTTCCAATGCATTTTTTACAAAGGGTAACTCTTGCCCAAGATCCCACTCTCATTCACAATAAAAAGGGAATCAATCTTTGTCTATTATTCTTTAAAAATTAGATGTTTTCCAATTAAGTATGAATATCTACAACAACTGCTGACAGGAACAGTTGCAAGTATCTAATGAACCTAAATCAGATTTTCAAAATCGTATCACTGAAAACTTAAATAATCTAATAGACTTGAGACTGAGAGGAAAAAAGGACTGTTATCAAGCACACGTGGTGATTCAGAGCACTGGCCCGGGAGCCAAAGGCCAGGATTTGAAACTTCATTCCACCACTTAGGATACCTCACTAGGGAGTCAACTGTGTAACCATGGTTTCTCTTGAATGCAGGGAGAGGAATGTCACATCCATCAGCTCATCTTGGACTAAAAGCTAATCTACATGAAGTGCTGGTGGTGAACACCTCAATGAATACTAGCTACCATCCATCCAGCAGAGAAAGGTGTCACTTTAAAACAAGGAGGACTCTAGGGCAAGAGTGTTGAAAAGGACAAAGTGGGAATTGTAAGCTCCAGACCCCACAGAGTCCTTCTTCTAGCTTGTTGAGGCTCTGTCCGTGGCCTAGAATGAGGATTTGGAAGGCACCCAAGAGTAGTAGTCTTTTTGCTGCAAAAGGCTTGCCCTGGTTCCATGCACTGAGTGGTGGGACTGTTTCACCAGAGTGCAGGTTAATGATGGACAGCTGTGCCTCTGTCAGCAGCTCCAACAGGGCTGAATGATAGAGTGGGAAGCTCAATAATGGTCACCAATGATGTCCAGGTCGTAACTTTTGGAACCTAGGAATCCCACCTTATACGGGAACAAGGACTTTGCAGATGCAAAAAAGTTAATGGTTTTGAGATGGGGAGATGGTCCTCCACTATCCACGTGGACCCTAAATTCCATGAGTCCTAGTAAGTGGGATACAGAAAAAGATCAAACACAGACAGAAGAGGGGAAAACAGTGTGACCATAGAGGCAGAGGTTACAGGGATGTAGTCATAAGTCAAGAAATGTCAGTGGCCACTGAGAAGCTAGAAGGGGCAAGGAAGGGACTCTCCCCTACAGCTTCCACAGGGAGCACAACCCGAGTGTTCCACCCCATCTGTGGGGCCCAGCTCAATGTTACACACATCTGCTCTGCTGCCTCAATGGCTACAATCTGACTGATGCTTGAGAAGCTCTGAGATAGATGTTGCCACATGTGTCCATCTGGACTCCCCAGTTTCCTCTGGTCTCATCAGAGAGCAGTGCCAGTTTCTTTCAGTTGCTTTGTATCCCCCTCACTATGGACAGAGGTGTAAAATCTAATAGGGATCTTTTACAACATTATCCACAAAAGCCCAAACTTTTGCATGTCATCTTTTTCAAATGGCCTTGCTTCCTAATTTCCTTAGACACCTGAGCCACTGAACAAGATGTGCTTTCGCCTAATCTTTCTTCCCTATCTGTAACTCAGAGTAGGAGCTGACCTACCTTGCCCATACCTCCTGTGCCTATGCTCTCTCTTCAAAACAAAGCTTTCCATCTTACGAAATTATGTATCTCCCTATTAGAAAAATGGGGAAAGCAAAAAGGACAAAGAAATGAAAATTATCATAGTCCTATCACTCACAAATAATAATGAACAAGTTGGTAGACAATTTTCTAAATTTCACTGTATACAATCATATCTTCCCTTTAATTGGGGCTTTTGAAGCCATTTTCACTGAACATTTACTAATGTTATTAGATACTATATTACACAATTTTTACCAACTGAAAAGCACTTTAATATATAAGTTTTCTTGTACATTTAGGTTATTTCCAATATTTTCCCACTATTATAAAAATCCTAGTATATTCATCTTTTCAGAACTGTGTGATTTTATTTCCTTTAAAAATACCTAAATGGAATCGTTTTGCTCAGTCTGCAAAACATGCTGAAAATTCCAAGCCTTGAAAAAACCATTCTCACAATTGCAATGATGACTCTCTTCTCCTTTAACTATCTGGCTTTGCAAAAAGAATAGTCAGATGTTCACTACTTAATGTCCTCAGCTCTCACCCCCCACCTCATCACTAGCCATCCATGGAGGTCCACCCTCCAAAGTCATCAAGGACCTCCCTAGTGAACTTTTGCCACGTACCACTGAGCCTTTGTTCTTAAGCTCTTTCCTGACATTCCAGGATCTTTTGATCTCCTGATTTCTCTCTTATGCCTCCTTCACTGAACTCCATTTCTTACATCTTGCCCTGAATACAAACATGGCTAACACTCCACTCCAAGTTCTGTGATCCTCTCCCCATATGTCCTCTCTCTTAGCCTGCTTATTAAAGGGCTCAGCCTGATTTGTTGCTCAATAGCTGAATCCAAAACCAACATCTCAGTCCTAAGCCTCTATTTGGAATTCTACTTTGCATGAAAATCTGCCTGTTAGACACCACCAGGGGATGGCTCGCCACTACCCCAGATGCATGTTGTTTTTCTTGATCATGGTCCTAAGCAGGCTGCCCTTCATCTGCAAATGGAGGCATCGCTCTCCCAGCCAGTCAGACCCACCCTATTGGTGGTATTCTACACTTCTTTAGATCCTACATCCAGCTAATCATCAAGTATCACATATGGGCCCTTCCTTGGAAATAACTCATGTCTGTCCCTTTGGTAGTCCCTCATCCCTACACTGGTTCTGCCTTCTCTGACTTCACAGTTTTCCCTCCCCTAGCTCTTGTATAAGGAGCTCCTAGAACATCTTCCTAAAATATGTGGCTATTTCCAAACCTCTGAGAGCTGCCTACAGCCTAATGTGACAGTCAGGGTCCCCGGACACCGGGTTTCTCCTAGATCTCTAGATTAACCTTCATCTATGGAAATCCCCACCCATTTTTAGAGACAGAGTTTCACTATGTAGACCAGGCTAGCCTTTAACTCTTGATCTTCCCGCCTCTGTCTTCCAAATAGTGGATTACAGGTATGTACCAGCACACTCAGCCTTAGAAATCCCTACTCTTGCTATCTCGGTTCCACTCATTCCCATTTCTGGTTTGTTTTGCCTCAGCTATCTTCTTTCTCTACAGTGGATTCCTCCATTCCTCTGCTTTCTTCAAGAACTAGATCACATCACATTGATTCCCAAAGGGGCTATTATTCCTTCAGTTGACTTTGCTACAAGACCTACTTGGTACTGGATGCATGGTACTTTAAAATATTATGTCTCTTCTTATATATACATATCATCTCTTCTCATATATAAACCTCATTAGATAGAAAATGTATATTTTCCTTTTGTCCACTCACAGGGTCTAACATGATGCTTTGTGCACAAAAAAGTGTGCATTCCTTTTTTGAAATACATTTTATCTTAGAATACTATCAGCTGCACAGAAAAGTTGCAAAGGTACTATAGAAAGTCCCATATACTTAACCTGGTTTTCCCTCTTATTGACCTCTCACAGTACATTTGTCATAGCTATAATATACCACATTGCATGGCACATCTGTCACAACTAATGAGTCAATATTGATACATTAGCTTATTATTAACAAACATTACTTGAAAAGTCCATACTTTGTTCAGATTTCCTTAGTTTTTAACCTAATGTCCTTGGTCTGTTCTGCAATCCAATCTAGGATATTACAAACTGTTTTTGCAATTCATTTTTGAGGGTGATAAATTTAAAAACTGAAAGTTAGATAGGCAAAATAAAAATACTATCATAACCTCACTAGGAAACAATCTATCTTAAATTCACCTATTTACAGTAGGCTTTCTGTTTGTTTACAGAACTGAATCTTATCTAATGTGTTGGTTCCCTCAGATAGCTTCAAGTACTTGTACTTTTAAAAGACTAGAAGAGTTTTTATCCTTCCATCAGGATGAAGGATTTAATATATTAAAAGCTTTTTCTTTAAAATTAGTTTAAGATATGTTTCAGGAACAAACAAATCACCTCTTCTAGGTCCATGATGGATATGCCCAGTAATGATTAGATAATAAATTGGCATCATGAAACTATTTGCTACTGACAAGACTGAAAGAGAGCTCTCCACAAACTTTAAAACTAAGTTAGAATGATAGTATGAAGTCTTTACCTTAGGTAAACAAACTATAAAGAAACATAAACTCATCAAATGTAGAATCTTCTAATATAAACAGTTTCTTTTCCAGTTTTCAATTTTTAAATATTTAAGGATAAACAAGTAATTTCTTTTATATATGGAAATATTTTTAAAAATATATACTTGCCTTGATATGTTCTAACCAATGAGTAGACTCCAAACTGGACAACCAATGAGATTCTTCTACATTTGGATAAACAATGTCTTTCACTTTTTTTAAAGATTCCCGCATAACATGAATATTATGAATGTCTAAGAAAGAAAGTTCGGCGTTATGATATGCATCATCACTTTCATATCCTCCTCCTGTAGCCTAAGAAACAATAAGATTACAAACAATCAGTTGGGCTTTCTGTTTCATCAGTAACTTTTCAAAATATCTCAGAAGTTATTTGTCCTCCAAATGTCAATCTAAAATGCCTGAAATTTAAATAAATAATTGATGTGACTTGACTTCCTAACCAACACTAAGCCTCAGTAACATTAATCATACTTTCAGCTAAAAAAAGATGGAAGACTGGCAATTTCCTGGGGTGGGACTCTGAACAAAAGTTCTTTTCAAAATTCTCTATAATTACTGGCTCTTCTAGATCTGGAAAGGCAAGAACAGGTTCTGAAAGGTCCTTGTCCTCCATCAATTTTGCTGCTATTACAGTATTCTGGATGAGGGGAAAAACAGCCAAATTTAGGCAGCAGCAGCCACCCCAGCTTTGTAATAGCAATCACATAGGACATGATATAGGAGGTAAACAGGCTTTTCAGTCAGAGAGAGCAGGCCAATATCTCAGCTTCCACCTCTCCTCACCATGTGATCTGGGGCAGAACACTTAACCTCTCTAAGCTCCAGTGTTCTCTCCTACAAAACAGGGTTCACTCCCTAGGTATCACAGGATTAAAGGAGCCATACTCTACTGCAACAACTAACACCAGCCACCACTTAATGAGTTTCTATGATGTCTCGGGTATGATTCTTGTTTTATAAAATTTTATTTCATATAGCAATGCTGCATTTTGCAAATGAGAAAACAAACTCAGAGATGCTATTTCATTCCCAAAGTCACACAAGTAACAGGTGGAACTTAAGTCTAATCTGACTTCAAAGTCCAAACCTATCCCACTGAATCATGACTATCTTTCTGCTAAGCAAATACCAAGAACAGAGCGTTGTACATGGTAGGCCCTCAAAGAATACAAGGTTCCAAGAAGGAGGGGACAGGATGGCAGTGCTCAGGACGGAATCCAGGGATTTGCACATGCTAGGTAAAGCGCTCTATCTCTGATCCGCATTTCCAACAGCACCTACAACCATTAACTTGTCAGGGCAGGCTTTGTTTCACCTCCATAGCATGGTGAAGAGGGCCTATGTTCCATATTGATGAAAAGAGACAGTATGGTTTTGTTTAGGAACCTAGCTGCACTCTACTTAAATGTTCTGACATGCCACAGGACAGGTGGCCTCTGGCCCTTTAAGAAAAGGTTAGCCTTGTAAAGAGAGCAACTTTATGATTGCCTACAGAAAGAGGGCAGGGAAACACCTGCCTGAAACTGAAGAGGAAAGCAGAAGTCCCCAGACACATGTGCCATCACTACAATATGACTCTCTTCTTTTTCTTTATAACAACTGTGGCTTATACTATGGCTTATAGCCACAGTTGGAAGGAACGACAAGGTAACCTAGCGTTTTTGTTTTTTTTTTTTTTCCGGGATTAGTCACAGGGAAGGTTCCTAGCAGGAAAAGTATAGCTAGCACTTGAATCTCAAATCCGGACACCTATATGGCAAGCCAGAGGGCTTGTCCTCTATAGACTCTAGGCGAGAAAACATACTAAGACACAGATATTTCTTTAAATCTTGTTCTAAATAACATCAGTAGTAAGTAGACAGTAAACATTCACTTTGCTGTTTTTAAAGTTATTACCTAATACATAAGCAGACAAGTAGACTATATTCCCTCTTCCTGGTTATCCACACCTTGGGGAAGAATGCTAGAGATGTTCCTGTATGCCTGGCAGCCACCTTTGCAAACTGCAGGCACAGGGCCTGGGAAAAAAAGGGCCAGTTTATCTTTTGCTAGATCTGAAGCCTATAATGCAATGTCACATGTCACCCTCCCACAGACATATCACCTGCTTCTCTGCACATGTGACTTTTAAATAATTACTGTGATTTTCAAAGAGATGTTTGACACTAGTGCTCCTTTCATAAATAACTAAAAATGATATGTGAAAAATACAAAAGGAAAAACACATTAAGTTTCTGGCAAAAACCACATTAATGCAGTTCCATTTTAACTTATCACATGTACACATACTACAAAAATAGAAGTACCTTGGTACTAGATCTTACCAACCCCTGGGTTTTGTTTGTTTAAAATAATGTGATGTTGCTGGTTACATCTGGGGTTGTAGATTCCACAAGGAGAGAAACAAGGGAGAAACAATTAGGGCCAAAGAGAACAGAAGTCGTAAAGGGTAAAAATCAATTAGTCAAGCATAGATTAAGTTCCCCAAAGTTCACGTTCTCCATCTCTGGCTACTTTTGAAGTCTTCTTCAGTATTCTTTTTTCAACAAAAAAGAACAACCGAAATTACCCAGTACAATGATGTAAAGTTCCAAGAGCCTGTTGCTATGGATATAGACAACGAGCAGAGAGAGAATGCTGGGGGAGAAGGGGAACCAAGCGTGGTTTTAAAAACAATGACCCAGACTGCTTTAAGGTTTAGGATTTTTTCTTTAATATTTTCCTTCTTTTTGTTCCTAGAAGGACTGGAAACAGAAGCTTATTTTCCAAGTGTTGAAAAGGCATTTAAGAATTCTATTGCTAGAATAAGTTTTAGAGTTAACATAATTAAGGTATGCATTTCACACATTTTAATATTTTAAACTATTTCTAAATACTTCATTTTAAGGTTGCATCATATCTATTTCAGGCTATATCTGTACGTGGAAATAGTGTATTTCATCCATGTATCCACTCTGAATTATACATGAAGGATAACAGGAACAGAAATAAATGAAATTAAGGATAATCCAAGAAGACATTTAGATTTAATTTCTTAAATGTTTTACTTACAATTCCTAATTGACTTCTGTTTTAACTTCCTGATTGCTTTACAGGTAATTTCAAAATCATTTTTAAACGAAAGCCAATTATTACAAATAGCTAGTGTAAGAGCATGCATGGGGCAGGGGCGGGCAGCCCAGGATGAGTATGTAGGACAGATGATCCATGTGCAAATAACGAATAGCAGAGTCCCCTTCACACCCAGTCTGACACACCCCAGTGGAGACAGAGGCCACACAGATTCCATTTAGGGAAGGTGCTGCATCTATCTGGGCTGCTCAAGGACTTGCTTTGCTTTTAGGTTCTAGTCATGTGTTTTGAATGACTGAAGATGTCAGAAAAGTGGTCTTGGCATAAGCAAAGAATTAAAGATGAAATCTAAGCCTACAGCTGAAGACAGTAAGTCTGAAAGACAGAATCTGGGAGTAAGCAACTTGGTGCAGACCCACAGTAAGTGTTTGGTAGCAGCATCTGGGAATGATGGGAAAATCAAAAATACAAAAAGGAGAAAGCAAAGGTAAAAAACCTATCATTCTGGGGCTATTTGGTACAGGGGCAAACAGCTTTCTACTTTGCAGCAGCTTCTGAGGGCAATAGCATATAGTCACTGCTGTTTGAGGGGATGACCCTAATCAACTTGAAGTATATTTGATATATTCTGCTTAAGAAGACAAAAAGTGCTAGGCAAGCACTTTACCACTGAGTTACATCCCCACCCCTCATTTCATTTTAATGTCAGTTTTCTTTTTATTAAAACTACTTTCTATTTAAGAATACTAGTGTTCTTCACTATGAATTTAAACTTTCCACATGCCATCAAGTTACAGCTACTCAACAGGCTGAGGCAGGAGGATTGCTTATACCCAGGAATTTGAAACCAGCTTTGGTAACATAGCAAGACTCCACCCAAAAAATAGATAAAATATAAAAATACACCCATATGTTAATATACCATGGCAGAAGCAGTCACAGAACATACTGCACTCCATATGTTATGTTAAGTTCGTATCACATTATCAAATGCACTCACCTTGTTGGCCACTGCATTTACGCTGGGTCTTGCGTCGTAGATGGTGAGTTTAGAAGTTTGCCTATTAGTCTCTCTGATCACGTCCAGATATTTCTCATCATCTTTATTTCGCTTACCACTCATACCCACAAGAGGCTGACTGCAACGCACAATGACCATCTTGTTTTCTGGATGAATCCACGATAGCACCTATGGTTAGTTTGGAAAGTTTACGCTATCAAGCTTCAAATAAATAACTCAAACTAAAAATAAGGAAGTAAATCTGATTATGCTGAAATGAATACTTGCGCACTTACAGTTTCACAGTGTGCATATTGAGAAACATACATTTTAGCTCTTATAACTACTCAGAAACAATCACAACTGGTTGCTTTGCCAGTCTTTCTTTAATTAATATCACATCTAACAAAAATTAAATGCTTATTCCAAAAATGTTATGCCACTTAAAGGAAACAAAGTTTCTGATATTATTTTAATTTGGTAGCTTGCACTAGATTTGTTGTCATATGAAAACAACTTGAATAAAAAGTGAGACGTAAAGGAAATCATCTCTGATACAGAATGTTACTCATGTCTACAGGTCATTTCCCCAACACTCTCTATTCTGGAATCTAATGCAGGAGGAAAAAAATACAAGAGAAGTAAAGATTTTAGACTGCCAAGAGAGCTGCCAGTCTCCACGGAGAAGCTTGGATAGCCGATGCCTAGGAGAGCTCATGTGGTACACCCTCAGAATCAGTCTTCTTCAATTTACTCACAAGTCTAACCCATTTTATCCCTGGCTTCTCAGCTCACATGCAGCATATGAAAAACAATACACATAAAAAGTAGCTAATAACGCACTGTCCAGAAAACTACCCAGTGTACACTGCAGATGGGGAACTGTTCTGTATGTGAAACGGGTCTCTATAAAGCTGGTGAAAACAGAGGAGACCTAACTTCTCATGTTTTCTAGCATAGCTGGATAACTACAATAGACAGCAGTTAGTTGAACGTTTTGGAAGAGCTACTAGAGAGGATTTCATATGTTCCCAATGAATGATGAATGTCTGAAGTGATGGATATGCCATCATATCCTGATCTGATCAATATACAGTGTACCCCACAAATATGTATAATTACCATGTATCAATTAAGATAAACTGTGTATATATGTATCTACAAAAAACATGGGGAGCTGGGGTAGGGTAGGACAGTAAGTGACAATGTGGGACTGGGGTCAGGTGCCAGCTCTTCTGTGGCTCTACTCTCAGGCACTTAACTAACAGCCTCTCTGGCTTGCCTCTCCTCCTTGGTCAAATGAGGAAAATAGCAATGACCTCAGAAGGCTGCTGGGAGGACCAAAGAAAGAACACCAGTAAAGTAAGCTTGCATTAGCTTCTAGAAGTAGGCGGTAAAGTCAAGAAGGAATGAAGCATAACCACTTGGGCTCACTTAATAAAAGACCAAAAACTCTTATATCTCTAAGTCTAAGGCAAATGATAAACATGGATGTTCATAAAAATGATGTTTATTATGACAATGGACATTTGAGAAAAAAGATGACATGATAATAAGAATACTCCTTCACTCTCAGAATATTGAGTCCTTGTGTCATGCTAGAGACCACTTAAATGCCATTTTAGTCCCTGCCTAGGAGTCCAAAGCCTTGTACCCACCTCCTATGGCCCAACTCCCCCAGTGCCCACCTCCTGTGGCCCTTGTGTTAAGAGAGATCAAAGTCAGAAGATCACCTTTAAAAGAGTAAATTGCTACACATACAAGATTTACTGTTTGAGAAAGACCCTCATCAAATTTTAAATTTAAATGGGGTCATAGGCAAGACCTTCTGCCAATGCCCTCTCTTACCCCACCACCTTTCTCTCTGTGGTGCCATATTAGGAAATTCCACTCTTTTGAGTCATTTCATCTTTTAAGTTCTATTTTGACTATTTATTTATTTATTTTAGTGGTTTTGGGATTTTGAACTCAGGACCTCAGCTTGCTAAGCAGGCATTCTACCACTTGAGGCACACTCCCCACTACCTTTTCAAAAGGATACTTGCAGTACAGATGGATGGGTACAAACTAACGCTCATTTCAATGTATCAAGTACTATGAGTGCTGTTAAAATATATACTATTTTATATTAGTGTCATTAAAATTAATATTTAGAAGCCATAATTAAGATATACATAAAAATTTAGTCACTAAAAGATGTTTATTACAGCATGGTTTATAACAATAAAAGATTTTTTAAAACTTATGGCAATCGAAAATTGATTAAATAAATGGTACATCTACACACTAGTATATGAGTAAATCATATTTATCAATGTGGAAAGTTGGTTGGAAGACATTGCTAAGTAGAAAAAGTAGGACAAGATCTACATTATAGAAAAATTTCATTTTTTAAGTGAATAAATACATGCACAGAAGGAAGTCTGGAAGGATATGTAACAAAATGTTAACAGTGGTTCTTACTAGGTGGCAGACTCCTTTTTGCTTATTGGTATTTTCTAAAATCTCTGAATGAACATGTTCACTTATACTAAAGAATTAAGACGAACCTGTTTGAGAACAAAAGAATGTGAATGCATTAAAGCATGGAGATTATTTCTTTAACCATGGTATTTTATTATAGTTTGTATCGGATTTATGTGCAAAATAATGATATTGCTCATCAATTGTCTTTGTATTTTTATATGGGCTTAAAAAAAAACCTACCAAATACTAGTGGTTTCACATTTAAAGGCATTTGCTGGATGAAAGCTCTGAAACTTGCTGTCAGGAGTCAAACGGTTAGAAAGTATAGTGGAAAGAGCATATTACCAGGCCTAATAATATCAAATAGTAATCATTATAAATATAGAGAGGTGATAGAAAGCTTAGCCTTAGTTTTGTGTTTTAGGAAAATAAACTGAAGGTAAGAAGGACCAACCAAAGTAAAAAGAATCAATCAAATGGCTAGATAAAAGTTAAGAAATTCTATTTGTTCTGTAGCAGACTCTCATTCATTCAGAACAACAGGGACCACTGGACCAAGACAGAAGACTAAGGTCGTAGCTTGGTCACAGTTGTCCCATTTCCTTTCCTGCCCCATATCCCATGAAATTCACACATATAAAGACATACAACTTTGACACAGTAGACGCTCTATGAATATTAAGTGGATAAGTGAACAAAACCCATCCACAGTGCCCTAGCCCAGTTCTCTCTGTGGATAAGGCATGTACTAGCAAGACCTCTGGCTAGGGAGGGATGCAGACTGGCTTGGTAGAAAATCATGTCCAAATGTAGCACAAGAGGACTGAACTTGTAACCCAAGCTTCAGAAAGCATTGTATTCTAACAAAATGAGGTAAAGAACATACTTTCAAGTACAATATATGTATCATGAAGATATGAACTGACACCAATAATCAGAGAAGCAAGAGAATTTTAAAAGTTATAACTCATCTTAGGCTGACAGTATATAAATGTTTTTTACAAATATCCTTTGTTGTGGGATGGGGTTTGAACTCAGGGCTTTGTGCTTGCAAAGCAGGCAATCTGCTGCTTGAGTTACACCTCCACATCTCTGCTTGAGATCCCCTCAATCTCAGCCTCCCAAGTAGCTAGAATTACAGGCGTGAGTCACTGCTGCCCAGCTGCAAATCCTTTTAAGGATAAGAATGTCTGGACTTGGAAGTTAAAGGTAAGGTAATATTAAATCTTAATTTCTTCAACCTTTGCTTTTAAAAATCTACTAGTTTGAAACAAAACCCAATGTACTTATTATGACATACCCTGAAAACTAACAGAGAAAAAAACTCTAAATTTTTGGTCAACAAAATCTATGTACATATTAGAGTGCATGACATGTCCGTAAATATTTAAGGACTAAAGGGGAACTTGGTGAACTAGTTTCAGTGACACAGTAGGCACAGCGTCTGGAATAATGTGTTCTTGAATCCAGTATCAATAAGGCTACTGAGGCAGCTTGCAAACATGAGAATCAGTGCATCCTAGTAACAGCAAGGGTTCATAAAAGCCCATACTGACACACTCACATACAGCAAATAACATCTATTTTCCACCATTACTGGTCTGACACAAAGATGACAACTAGAAAGAGTTCTCCCTCCCCTCTCTTTCCTTCCTTCCACAAAGCACTTGGATTAATCATGATACCATCACCTGAACCCCCTCTCACAAAGAGCTCCTTTCCTGCCTGCCTCTCCACCCTTGATTTCAAACTCCCAGAGGGCAGGTATTGTCTTACTTCTTTTCCCTTTTGACAAGGTGCTTTGCCCTCAGAAGGCCCTTGATAATTACTTGTTGGAATGAAATTCCAAAAATAATGTTTCTCTGAATTACATGACTTTTGTTCTTGTGGAACAAAAGGCATTCTTTGACAGCAACATTAGTCATAGTACTCACAGGAATTCGGTTTCGTGATCTAAAAGTTGCAACTCTCCTGAGGTCATCATCTGAGGTACGATAGGGGACCACCAAAAGAGCTGGGTAAGTGTCACAGAGTTCATAGCACTTATTAATAAAAGTTATTCTCCAATGGTGATTGGGCAAGCCCTGCAGGAAAAAAAGAAGTCTAAGTGAGCAGGGCATAACTTCATCTTTGGATTTTTGTTAGGTCACTTTTCTTCTTTCTAGCATTAAGTATACATGCTTCTTTGACCACAGGTTGATGACAGCCTACCTATTTATAATAAGGATGTCAAATCAATAATCCAGACAGCATAAGAACATGGACAAAACATTGTGGTTTCCACATTTGAAACTATCTTTTGTAAATATAGATACTTCTGAATTGGAGATCTTCCTTTATTAGGCATCAACATATTTTTTACTATTAGTACAATACAAATAGGTCCAAGTTCATCTCCTACTCATGCACCCCTCGCCAACCCAAAGAAAAGTACCATGTGTGATGTTAATCAGTGTCTAACTGAGGGTAGAAAAGAGATCAGGCAACTTTTCCTCCCTGCTTAAAACAGAGTGAAAGCTTCAGACTGTTCCCAAGTGGAAAGAGGCTAGGATCATAAAGAAAAATCACAGAGGGGAAGTCAAAGAAAATCCCTCTGGGGAGGCTTATTTCGCCACCTCTTGTGAGTTTTTTAAAATAAGTCATTTGGGATCAATGACTGCCCTATAGTTTGTATGAGAAATATAATCGTTTGCATTTTAAGCAGACTGCCACTCTGACAGGTAGACACAGAAGATACCTCTCCTATCACCTACCCACAAAATTGTACCTAGTATGCACAAGGTCCAGAGGTGGAGGAATACTCTCTTCTCTTACTCACAAATGCACAAATACATACATGAAAGTGAGCTAGGTGGGTGTTTGCTTTGGGACAGACATTGTACCTTTTCTTTATGTCTGGCCCTATGTACCTTGGACTAAACAGATCTTGAGTTTGATGCTGAATCCAATTAGAGAGTTTTAAGTCCCATCAGAAAGTTTAAGAAAAAAAAGATTGAATATAATGGCAGTCTAGAACAAAATTCCTTCAAAAGTTCACATACACTTGCAATCTTAAAACAGAAACTGTTCAGTTTCAAGCTAGAAGCCTGGACTAAAGAAGTCTTACTATTGTCAGGAGCTCTAGAAATAAAGTAAAATACTTTGACACATAATGTTGCAGAGGTCTCTAAGACGTTTTAGTGGTCTTTCTTCTACCTCAGTAGCTGGTCCAGAACAGAGGTCATTAAAATGAGAAGTGTACACTGCTTTTGAAAACTGAATAATCTAAAGCTGACTTATGGAAACAATACGACATACCACCTCCCTCAAGTGTTCTAAAGCAAATCTCCTGTATCTAATCCCAGAGCATCAAATCTGCTTAGGAATACGCAAAGGACAGCTCAAAACTAAACATGGATGTCACCCAGGTTTTGGACATGGGAGTGGTAGGTAGGAAGTTCTTAAGCCTAGGGTTCTGTGATTTTACTTTACACTCACTACCTTTTTATTCAGAGCAACTGGGATTGATTTGGTTCTCGAAGCTCACTCGACAAAACTTCTCAATTATTTTAAGAGTTTTGTGGAAGAAGAATTAAAATTCCAATGCAAAACTCCTAGTTGTCCTACAGCTTTGGTTATACCAGAAGTCCAATTGTAGCTCTTGTTCCATAATTCACTTGCTTACTCTTGATCATCTTCACAAAAATGCTAGGAAAGAGCTTTGTCCCTGAACAGCAACCTTATATCAAGTCTCTTGCCTTTATTAAAGCAAATAAATATACATGACAGTGAGCTTTACATAACAGAGTAGTACAGGCAATTATAATGTACACTCATCAAAGCTTTTGTGGAAAAGTCACATTAGAAGAAAATAGTTCAAATTCATTTGAATCTGTAATTCAGAAAGAAAATATATAAATAAATAACATCAAGTCCCCAAAAAGTGAGGTATAGAGAGGTTTGACTTTTCTGTATCTTAAATATTTGACTCATTTCATAAACAATGCAAAACTTAGGCTCTTCATATATGGAAAGAAACAGAACTTAGTTGTCCAGCTTTGAACGCAGCTGGCATATGCCAATGGAATGAGCTTGTAAGTTACACAGTGATAGAATGAGCCACATTCCACAATATGTGGCCCGCAGAACTGCCATCAAAAGATACTAAGCCAGGATATTATTGGCTCGTAGAGTACGATTGGCGAGTATGCATGTTTGAGATTCAACACATAAACAACAGTATCTATCGACTTACCTGCCTTCTGTATTCTTCAACTGGATTATAAACAGTCCACCCATCCACATTAAACTTCTCTTCACTTAAAAATGCAAATAATGGCTAGAAAGGCAAAGAAAAGAATTTAAAGTTCAATGTGAAGAAATAGTCTATTAATAGTACATGCTTTCATTTTTCACAAAATAAGTTTCACCAGATTCTCTGACCATGAAATTACAACCAGACTTACACAACTGCTATTTTGAGTAATAATTACTTTTGAACATCAATTTTCTATGGCTACAAACCTCTCTTTTGATTTTTTTAAAAGGATGCTCCACAAAAAAAATCAGATTTCAACACCAAAAAAAAAATCTATCAATTTTAAACAATATTATCAACTGATTAGGTAAAAGCCACTAAAACAAGAAATTCAGGAATGATTATGAAACAGTATACCTGTCTCAAAAGAGTACAATGACATGTTTATCTATTTAAGGAGAGCCAGGATATCAGAAACTCTTAATTAGCTGTCCTCTGAATTCTGAATCAATATGCTAGTCTCTGTAAAATGACATGACACTGATTTTGTATCACTTCTCTTTATGCTTACTCTCGAGGGGCTATTGATGAATTTCCTTGCTTCAAATGCCATCTGTCCCCTCATGAACACTGCCTCAGGGGCACCAGGGGAGGGGGAAATGACTGGACTCTGAGGCTAACTCTCTGTCCCAAAGCCATACCCTTCACTTCACCTCACTAGTTCTGCTCTCCCCAGTCTGCCCATTTTGAGCTGACTGAGCTGAGAACTGTGCAGTCATTCTTGACACCACCTGGCTAGCACCCAGTCTAAGCCTCCGCCACCTCTTACTTCACTTGGTACAATAACTTATTTTTTTTGTGGTACTGGAGTTTGAACTCAGGGCCTCACACTTGCTAGGCAGGCACTCTATCACTTGAGCCAATCCACCAGCCCTTTTTTGTGTTGGATATTTTAGAGATAGGGTCTTGCGAACTATTTGCCCAGGCTGGATTTGAACCACGATCCTCCTGATCTCTGCTTCCTGAGTAGCTAGGATTACAGGCATGAGCCACGGGTGTTTGGCTTGGTACAACAACTTCTGACTGCTCCCCTGTTTTCATATTTACATCTCCCCTATGGCTTTCCATATGCTCCAGAGTAAAAGTAGGAGTCATTGCAATGGCCAATGTGGCTGTCTGCCATCTGGTCACCTCTCCCTGCCACATATTTCTGCTATGGGCCCTGCTCACCATGCTCCAGCTACACTGGCCTCCTGTGCTGCAACCTGGAAGCACCAAGAATACACCAGCCTTAGACCCTTTGCACTTACTGTTCTGTCCACCTGGAATCCTTTTCCCTCATGGTCTTCCTCTCTTACTTCTCTCATATCTCTGATCAAATGCAACTAATCAAGAAGACCTTCCCTGACATGTTATGGGAACCTGACATGTTACCCTTACAAGATCACACCCACTGTCTTTCCCCAGTCTTACTCTCCCACATTGATTATGAGCATCAGAGTTATTTTATATGTACTTGTTTACTGTTGGATCCCCCAGTGTCTCCTTCCTAGAATGCTGACTCCATGCAGGTAGACACTTGCTTTGTTCACATCCTCTAGACCTAGTAACTAGAACAGTGCCTGCTCCATGGTGAGCAGAACATGTATTTGTTGACTAGATGGCAACATGAAACCCTATAGCCCCTGTTACAATCCCTATAGTCTGTGGAAGTGCTGTGGCTGGACCTTTTGCCTTCATGTAGCTCCCTCCCCATCTATTTTCCTCTGTTAGCCTATCACTTTGAATGCCAGTGTTTCTCTCCTTCATTGCAGGCAGCTCTGGAGAAAGCTCACTTAGCGAGTTTTCTGTGTCTGAATGGCAAGAGGTTTAAGGTGAGAATTGATCAAGAACATACTGGAGCACTGTGTTCTCAAGTTTCTTGAAGTATGCAGCACCCTCAGCAGGTCTCAAGTGCTGTGTGGTCCACAAGAGACAGCATGTAGATCACACATTAGTAATGGCACTGACCTGGGTAGGCAATTCACTGAGGCTCTAGCCTGACACTGAATCCAGGGCAATGCTTAATTATTAAGTCACCACTGAAGAAAATAAATGAGCCCTTAATAGGGCTCATTTTATTAACAGAAGTTTCACTCAGATTTTTGGTGAGAACTAAGATATTTTGTTGCACTGCTTTATCCATAAACAATCTATGGAAAACACCTAATTATTCTCTTGGTGACACATCATCACTTTGAACATCTGATTCTACACTGGTCACTACCTTGCACGGGTGAATGCTTAATGTTGCTGAATACTATGCTACTGTCTGACATAGTTGTAGATGGCAGATGCTTGAGACATAAGAGTGGATGGCCAGCGATTTTAGAAGAAAACCTAGAATTTGCCTTCTGGAAATAATTCCTGGCCTCCACATGATTTTTGTTCCTTTGCTTTTATGTATTTGCATGTTTCTGATCAAGCTCAATTGAATATTGAAAACTTTAAAAAGCAAAGAAAATTCCTATTTGGATGAATCTCTTTCTAGAGACGAATCAAGGGCAGTGACGCTGTCAGTGATCTTCAACATGCAGGCAGCATTTTCAAGGTAAGTCACTATTTCTTGATCAGTGACGTTAAAGCACCATCTTATTTCCTCAAGCACTCTTTCTTGTATCTTGTGTGAAAATTACAATAAGTGTTATATAAGTTTATAAGTGCTATCAGAAGATGAAAATTATATTGCCCAAATCAAAACTATCTCTACAATTTCCTTAACATGTTTAAGAGAACTCAAGCATAAACAGCATTAATATTCTTGTCATTAGGGTGACTAGGCAACATCTCCACGATGGTTACCTATCAGGTGGCCTTTCTCATAAAATTACTTTTACAGTGACACTTCACATTGTGAATGAAGTCCAGAAGGAAGTAATAAAATGGCACCTTTTACCACTGAAACATGCTTATGACAACTTAGTGACAGAAACAGTTCCCAGTTTATTTTTGCTGTTAAGAGCCAGACTCAGACCTCAAATATTGTGGGAAAACATGAATCACATAACTGTCAAGTATTTCTCATCATGAAATAACATCGCAACCCATCTACTATTGCATCACAGCTCAGGAGGGAAAACATCAGTTGCTTAAAACACTATCTTCACCATCCAAATAAATTAGCTTGTAATTAATTACAGGAAAACATCTTCCAAAAGCATTACTGGCTAGTGTAAGCTTTCTATAAACTACTTGGCTTAACTGAAGCAAGCATTCTAAAAGAACTTATGGTCACATTTTCTAAAGTGGAATGCCAGAACTTACTTTCCAGCTATTTTAATTTTTCCTTTATTTTCTTAAAGATTCAGATAAGAGAACAAAGCAAGAAGTTTATAATACAAGCTCTCAAAAGAGTAACATGGAGGTGGACTATGTAAAAAAAAAACACTAAGCTTTATAAGGAGAGGCTAATAAAATGCATACATCTGTACATTATTATTAAATAGTGCAAAGGTCCCAAGACAAGTAGTGACTTGTAACAAGCCTAATTTAAATTCTTGCCTGAAAACCAATCAAACCTGAAGTAAATGGACTATTATCTGGAGGTTTTTTTTAACTGTCACTTATTTTCTCTTCTAGACAATATATTGTAAAGGCTTCAAGTTTTTTAGTACTTCATTAGTGGATTGACATTCCAACAATTGTTTCTTATATTACTCCAGGTGGGTCAATTTGACCCTCAGCTTGGGAAATGGAGGTCCCAGCTTGGGACAGCTGGTTGTGGAGCATTTCCCATTACACCCACCAAGCAGGGAGCTCTGTTTGCCAGAAGGGTAAGGCTAAAGTCCACTCTGTGAACCAGCCAAGCACTGAGTTCACTTCTTTGCTTTTAGAAACCAAAAGAATTTGCCCCGATTGAGCCATGTCTAGTGTTTTGTTAAGTGTTAGTGGTCTGTTGATAGTCAGTGAGCCTGTGTGGGTTCCTTGTGTGGTATTGTCCCTTCTCCAGGACTCAGCCTTGCAGGTCTGGGCTGGGCCCACTGCAAGATGGTCAAAAAGGATACCTGTGTCCCACCTCACCCCTACTGAACTAGAAATCTTTAGGGGGTGACTTCCTTACTTGCCTAGTCCTGGAAGGGCCTCTTGGAATACACCAGAACCCCTCGGAATTTGTATTCAAGCTATGTGGCTACCTGCTTTATTACTTTTATTTAAAGTTACATTGGAAAATTAGGGATTCACTAGAAGCTACAAATAAACATAAAGGGACATTCCATGCACCCTTCATCTGCCCTCTCCCAATGTCAACATCTTACATAAGTAGAGCATAGCATCAAAACTAGGAAACTAACAGAAAACATAAACTCTCAAATGCCCAGCCCTGGTTTCCTCAAGCGAGCAGATCTTCCTTTATTTCACTCTCTGTTCATATTCATATTTGGGCATTTCATCAGTTCTGATACCTACCAGTCAAGAGATAACACACATGAAGACTTAAAAAAAAAAAGCAATCCTGTACATTTTTCCCAGATTATGATAGCACAATATAACGTTCCAAAAATGTTAAAGGACAAAGTTGAGATGAAAATCTCTCATTTCATGCTATGGATAAAAACAACTCTGACATAGAAAATATAATTTGTCATTTTAATTTAGCTACATTTAGCATTATTGTGTCCTGTGATGGAAAACTCTGAAATGACAACAGATTTTAGTTTTCATTTAATTAGCCATTGTTTTTAAATGGCAGTGATATAATGCACTGATTTGCTTAAAACAGTTAGATCAGATTTTTTTTTATTTAGCAAAATCTATAAATGTTGAGCAGCTCTTGAGTTTCCTTTGAGGATGGAGAGCTGTCCGTCACTGACCCAAGGATCCTCCATCTCATAAGCTCCTTCCTCAAAGACATGCAGTGTGGTGGCTCAGAACTGGAGGTTTGAGAGTCAGATTGGTCAAAATTCAATGTTGTTTTAAGTGGGAGACAGTCACAGGAGAAAATCATTTTTATAGTATTAAGAGGAAAAAATCGATTACCTATGTACATTCATAAGCAATTTTAAGTGATGTTACCATCATACAATAGCACACTCATTGAGGGA